CCCCCCAACAACAACAACAACTCAGTAGAAGGGCCAGAAAGCACAATGGACTTCAATGAACAAAACATTTGTGACATTTCCTGAGAGTGAAGAAAACCTAGATGGGGGGGGGGGTATGGAAATAAGAGAAGAGTGAAGAGAAATGGAAGGTAGAAATGCAGAAATCTAATATGTATCCAAAAGACAGAGGGAAATAAATAAAAGAGACGAATGTTGCCTTCAGAATACTGAGTGGCTCTGAATGCCCCAAAGGACTATTGAAAGGTTAAACCCTGTACTTCAGTTAAAGAAAAAGCCATACCAACTTCCAGAAAGAAAAAATAAAATAGAGAGTAAGAATCAGGTAGGCATGAGATATTTCATTTGTAACAAGCAAAACTGGAAGATGAAAGTGTAAAGAATGCAGGAAAGGCTCCATTATGAACTGAGAATTCCATGTGTGGTTCCATCAGGACAGGAGCTCTGACTATGTGTTCACCTGGGTCCTCAGCACCCACGCAGAGAACTTCACAGAGTAAGATGGACATCTAATATTTCCCCCGTTTTGCAAAAGGGAAGTTGCTGCACACAGTGACTAGGTAATAAGCCCAAGCTAATTAGATAATGCAGCTAATAAGCAGCAGAACCAAGAGTCAAACCTAGTGTGGTTTGGCCTTATGTTTCTAGAAGTGAGAACTCAGAAAATGTACTACCCCTTCATGCTTTCCCAGAATTTTACTTGAGGATGTACTCAGGTGAAATGTTAAAGGTAAGCCGAGAAATATGACGCAGGTCAGGAAACAACAGATCTACTCTAGCAAGGGAGACAAAAAAATTTCCAGATGACAGGTGTACAGCCAGCTCAGAGAGCAACCTGCCGAGACTGGTGCAGAAGAACCAAGGCTCCAGAAGAGGACAACCTCACAGAAACGGGAGAGATTACAGAGAATTATTATTATAAGGAAGACATTCCTTATAGTCCTGATAACTCCTTATAATGTCTCTTGCTTGGAGGAGATGACATTTGGAATAAACCTTACAAAGCACAGATGGGCTTAAGAAGATAACATTCCAGGTAAATTTAAATGAATGAGCAAAGGCAAACAATTAAAGAAGCAACACACACAAACTGTACCAGAAAGGAAACATCACCGTAGAAAAGTCTACACTACAAAGTCCTAATGATAAACGGTTGTTACTCACATGACTAAACAGAATGATGTTTAGGAAGGGAAGGCTGGTAGGTAAGTGGGTGGTACAAGAGCTAAATCCTTACCTATTATAGTACAAGGCAATAAATTACACCTAAATAGGTAAATCCAGAAACCCAGAAAAGTGAGAGGGAGGGGTGTGAGCTTGGAGGAGATAACATTTGGGTTAGGCCTTAAGAAGCGCAGATGGCCCAACTGGTGTGGCTCAGTGGTTGAGCATCGACCTAGGATCCAGGAGATCGAGGTTCGATTCCTGGTCAGGGCACATGCCCAAGTTGTGGGCTTGATCCCCAGTAGGGGGTGTGCAGGGGGCAGCAGATCAATGACTCTCTCATCATTGATGTTTCTCTCTCTCTCTCTCTCCCTCTCGTTTCCTCTGTCTGAAATCAGTAAAGACATATTTAAAAAAAGAAGTCCAGAGGGGCTTAAGGAGACAGCACAGCAGGTGAAGGGAAGTGGATCAGCACAAGCGACAAGTGAAAGAGCAAAGGAGCAGTTAGGGAACCAAGAGCATTAACAACAACAGAAGGTCGGCATGGGAGAGGGCAGTTTTTTGTCTGTCAGAGTAAATACCGGCAGCTCCAAAAAATGAAAAGGCTACTTTTAGTACCTACAGCAAAACAAACAAAACAATTCAACAGCGAAAACTACCTTCTAAATAAGTTGTACAATCAATGAAGAAAAAGCATCCTAATTTTACTTTTGCTTGAGACCATTTATTTCAGCTCTTAATCACCAGAGATATTTTACTTTACCTGACCCGTGGGTAGTGGTTGATCTAGCAGCTCAACATCCAGGTGCTTAGGGAGGTTATATAATCTGCAGAGTTCACATATCAACCACTTCAACTGCTGACGAAGCTACAAAACACATTTCGGTAAATAAGCATTATGTTAAAGAGCCCTTAGAAGACAAGAATAATGCTACTACTATAACCAATCCAGTAGGAAATGAAAACAGTTTGTTACTGCCCAATTATAGCCTACAGATAAAATAACAGTATTTAAAGAAATATTGTTCGGGGCTGCTAGTATAAGAAAGTCACTGTGGCTTCAGTGCAATTCTAGAGCTGACTTCCAGCAGAATGACATCAACAAAAGTGAGAGGAAGGGGAGCTGCAGACATTGTCCACTTTGCAGCTGCTAATTTCTTGTCTTAGAAACTTATAACTTCAGGTGAATACATTAATAAGATATTGAGGCTACAAAAGCAGAGGCAGTGTGATTCCACACAGGTCATAAAATTATATATTTCACAGTCATATTCACTTAAAAGTACAGGGGCAAATGTGGTCTAGTAGACAGAGTCCTGGGATCTAGATGACCTGGGATATGGTATCTAACTGCCTTAGTTCGAGTCTCTCATTTGTAAAACAAGAAAATCAGCCCGGCCGGGCGTGGCTCAGTGGTTGAGCATCGACCTAGGATATAGTCGATCGGGGTTCGATTCCCGGTCAGGGCACATGCCCGGTTGCGGGCTCGATCAATGACTCTCTCATCATTGATGTTTCTATCTCTCTCTCCCTCTCCTTTCCTCTCTCTGAAATCAATAAAGATATATTTACCAAAAAAAAATTTAAACCTTCTCATAATGGTAACGATTAAATGAACTCTTCTGTGGAAACACTCAGCACTTAGTAGGCTCTTAAGTGTTTGTCTAAAACTGCAAAAAAATAACAAGTTTCAATTTTTATATTGAGATTGTTTTGTGAGCATATTTACCTTAAGGAATGTATATTATGTGCACACACATCTCTCATTGTTTAAAAAACTGTTTTCAATGTGTAAGTTTAGCAATTATGGTTTAAGAAGAATGGTCAATACCCAGTAGCTATGACCAGTACTAGTCAGCAACTTATTTCACTTGGTCAGGAAGTTTCCTGGATATGTCTGACCAAGAAAGGAGATGAGAAAGAGGCAGGTTTATGAAGGACTAAGAAAACAGACACAGGATTACAAAGGGTTAAACAAAGCACAGAACAAGCCTTTCCAAAGTGGATAATGGAGCAAGCAGGAGCAAGAAAAGCTGAGCTGAAAATCAGGATCAAAAAATAGCCTCAAGCTTAAAAGGCAGCAAAGCCCCACTGTGGATTTGATATCCACCCAATAAGCTGTTTTGTGCTAAGTACACAATAAAGATGAGGCAGGGTGGCCTGGACACAACCCCTGGCACAGGAAGAGCTACCGGAGTGGGGTGGGACAGGCAGCATGTGGTGGAGTCATACCTAACAAGAAAAACAGGAGTACATCTTCCAACTTTACACTCCCCTAAAAAGTGTTTGAGGGATGGGGGGGGGGACTAAGATCTCAGGGAAAAACTTTTAGAAGGTAAATGGATAGGTCTTAGAAACTTCCTAGATAGTAGGGGTGGGGGAGGGGAGGAGGTGTCAGGAAATATTGGGATAAAAAGAACTCTAAGCTAGTTCCCAGGTTCGGGCACGGGTGAGGAGTTTCATTACTTCATTTTTTTCCCCACTCACAGTCACAAAGAGAATTACTGAGGGAAAACATGACGGGGTAGTGGACTGCCAGGAGGCAGATGAGTTTAAATTTAGATATAATCATGTTGAACAACCATGGCACGCACAGCCAACTGAGAGTCCCTGGATCTACGTGATATATAGACATACATGGGCTTGAAACTCAGGAGATACATTTTAGCTAGAGATACAGATTTAGGAATCCCTGGAACGTAGGCCATGATTTAAGTAACAGGAGTATAAGACATTACCCAGAGAAAGCACAGAATGAAAAGAAAGAAGCAGACCAAGGAAGAGGGGCTCCAGGAGACCAAAGCAGGGTAATAAGAGATAAAAACAGGAAACAGTGACCTGACAGAAGTCCTCATTAGATTATCAGTTCCCAGAGGACAGAATATGACTTGTATTTTGTACCCATCACTTATCACAGAGCCTCACAGAGAAACCAGTCAATTAAAAATATATACTTTTCTGTGTTCTGCTACTAACAGTGTCCTGTATCCACCCAGGGAGAAAGTGTATAGACCAGCATAGATACAGATTTGTGACAACATTGTATACAAGTAACCAGATTGTAGACAATATTCTATGCCTTGGTTTTTCCCTTAGAATATCTTGGAAAGTTGTACATGCTCCTGTGAAAACACTGGCTGCATTCTTTGTAACTACAACATAATATTCTACTGTAACACCATACACAATTTTTATTTAACCAGGTCTTTATTGGTGGACATTAAGTAATAAATGTTGAATGGAGGAAGGTTTCAACACGGGAACAACCAACAGTATCTAATGCTACAGACAGGTCAATTTTAGGGCTGAAAAAAAGAGTCCCTGGATTTGGCAACTAAAGATAAAAATTTTTAGTGCAAATGCTGAAGGCAGAATCCAGACTGTACTGAATTAAGTGAATTAAAGGTGAGGAAAGATAGCATAGTCTGTCAATAAACTAGGTTAATGAAAGAAGTGGCAGAGACTGTAAGAAAGAGTGGAGGGTGAGTTTGGGGGTTGTTGTTTTTTTTCTTTTATGTAAATACACTTACCTTTTTATAAAATTAGACTCAATTTTATATCCCGTGTCATTTCATTTTCTGATGGAATATTTTAGACACTGAAAAATAACCCCACTCATTTCCACCATCACAAAACTTGTACCTTTAGAAAAGGAGGCAGCAGTAAGGGAGCTGTCACTCCTACCCTGTCCTGTCACCCCCTCATGGAGATGTGAATACGTCCTCTTGCTTTAAACTTTTACCTCTAACCTTCATGGCTCTCCAGACGAGCCTTACTTCTAAGATACTCTTGAAACTGATGGTCTTCTGTTCTTAATTTTAGGAATAAGTGTGTTTAAACCACTTATAACTTATTTTGACAAAAATCTGATGCTAAGACTAACTTCCCCAAATGGTCACTTCTCCCAATACTTTTTTTTTTTAATATGTCTTTGTTGACTTCAGAGAGAGGGAGGGAGAAGGAGAGAGAGATAGAAACATCAATGATGAGAGAGACATTGACTGGCTACCTCCTGCGGGCATGTGCCCTAACCGGGAATAGAAACTCGATCTACTAGATCCTAGGCCAATGCTCAACTGCTGAACCACACCGGTAGGGCTCTCCCAATACTATTAATAGAATACTCTATGCTTTCCTTTCGAGTACTTTAACTCAATTTAACTTATTCTAAATTCTCAATTACATTCTAAATTTCTACTGCCTTTATCCATCCAGTCTGGTACTCAGTATTTAATGTCTAGTTGAGCAAGTCTCACTTCACTACTTTTTTTTTCAATTTCATTATTATCTTTTATTATTTACTTTTCAAAACAAACTTTAGATTCATTTTGTCAAGTTCCAAAAATAAGTCCGTTTGATTTTTTACTGGAACTGCATTCAATTTATAAATTAACATGAAGTTATGGAGATAATTAACATATTTATAATATGAAGTCTGCCCATCTAGGAACATATTTTCATTCCACTCAGCATATTTTTGTAGTTATCTTGATACATCTAAATTTATTCCTAGGTATTTCATTTTTTAATATTTAACTGTAATTGTCAACAAAATACTTTTCTACTATATTTTCTATTTGATTATAGCTGATATTTGGGGGAACCATTAATTTTTATATAATAGCACTTTTTTTTCTTTTTTTTATAATCCTCACCTAAGGATATTTTTTCCATTGCTTTTCCAGAGAGTGGAAGGAAGAGAGAGAGAGAGAGAGAGAGAAACATCAATGTGAGAAAGACACACTGATTGGGTGCCTCCCAAAGTCACCCCAACTGTGGTACGTGCCCTTGGCCAAAACTGAACGGGGGACCCTTTAGTCCGAGGGCCAATGCTCTAATCACTGAGCCAAACCAGCCTGGGCATGAATGGTATTTCCTATAACGGCTTTATAATATCATGTAAAAATACAATGAGAATGTTAACTTTAAAAAATAATATAGCTGGGCCAGTGTGGTTCAGTGGTTAAACATTGACCTATGATCCAGGAGATTGTGGTTCGATTCTCGGTCAGGGCATATGCCCGGGCTTCAGGCTCGATCTCAGCAGGGTCATGCAGGAGGAAGCCAATCAATGACTCTCTCATCATTGATGTTTCTATCTCTCTCCCTCTCCCTTCCTCTCTCTGAAATCAATAAAGATATATTTTAAAATAATAATAATAAAAATAAAAATAATAATATAAAACTATGCAGAATATGACCTCAACTATTTAAACATATATAAGAGTAGGTGTATTTTACTAACAAGGGANTAAAAATAATAATATAAAACTATACAGAATATGACCTCAACTATTTAAACATATATAAGAGTAGGTGTATTTTACTAACAAGGGAAAAAATGCTGAAAGAAAAAAACACATCATGTCAACAAAAGTTATAGCAGGCAGAGAAATTACAGAATATTTTTATTTTCCCTTTTTTAAAATTTTACTAGTTCTCTGACAATGGTTACTTATTAGTTTTATAATCAAATAAAACAGGTTATTAATTTTTCATAAAATGGAAAGTTACATTTCTTTATATATATAAAAAGAACCTTTTTATTTGTATACCTCTGGCTTTTACTACAGTTATAGACTCTTGAAGAAAAGGCAATTTCCTAACACCAGTATTGGTACCGTGCTATCATTATTTCCCCTCCCATCTACCTTTCAGTCTTCCCCTCTTTTTCCACTCCCTACCTTGGCTAATGGTCCCTACCAAAAATGCTTGCTCAGTTAATAATGGTTAGAATTCATGGAAAAGAGAAGACCTAATTTCTGATCCAAATTAAGGCTATACCTTATGGGAAATAAAAAAGAGAAACTAGGAAGTAAATACATTTTGAAATATTATGACAAAAACAAACAAATAAAAAACCTGGTCTTTAGCTCCTCTAAGATTATCAAATAATCATTAATCAGGCTTTTACAACATGTTACCTCTTAACATTTATTCTATCATATAATGTTCATGAGGAAAAAAGAGAGTAGCATTGGCTTATTTTCTCACCGAGCTGTTGTTCTTAGAATCTTCTAGCCGTTCCAGAACTGATGTCAGATTTGGGTCATCAGAGTCCACAAACCATATTGGTGAAGAAGATGGATAAGATTCCTGTTACAGAGATACCTAGTTAAAACACTTATAACAGCCTAACCTGGATATGCAATCAGGCTACACCACTCTATGGTAAGATAACCAGATTTTAGTAAAATGTATCAGGGGGAAGAAAAACAACACATTAAAATCCATGTGTGAAAAAACAAATTTATTTTAATGGATTTTTTTTTTTTTAAACAGTTTTATGGTTTAATCTTGCCAGCCTATGTTACATAATTTATAAGTCTAAAACCCCCAAAACACTTTACCAGTAAGCAATGATATAAAACTAACAGAAGAGAAACACTGCAAAAGTTGTGTTATCAAAAACAGAAAAAATGCTATTCAAGCACCAAGAAAGATTGGCTTCCTTCCTTTACAAAGAAAGGTCTATCATGGCTTGGAGTCTCAGTTTTAACATTTTTTAAGGGCTTCAAAATCTGGAACCATAAATCCCTCAAAAAACAAAAACATATTGGAAAAAAAGAGAAAGAACTCAGAGACATGGACAACAGTGTGCAGGGGGGCGAGGGGTGGGTGGAGGAGGCTATAGAGGAGAAAAATTAAAATGAAAAAAAAAAATTTTAAACCACACAAAAAACTTAACCTTAAAGTACAATCTATAGGTTTAAACTTTGCCTTTTTAATATAATAAAGTTATATTTCTAAACTATCTAGATAAGATCTGATTTTTTAAAAATAAAGCAAAGGAATACATGTCTAAGCACATTATTAAATCCTTAAATGCTAAAAATGACTTTCAAACAAATCTACTCACTATACTCATTGCTTCTGAGTAGTGTAATTATAGAAGTTACTTTGAGATTTTTCTGCATTAGAAAATTAGCGCTAAAATCAATCCCATCAATTATCCCTTTTTCCTAATAATTCTCCACTCCTTGGATTATAGGGAGGAATGTAGTTAGTTCGTTTTGGTTAAGCCTCACCCTAGGCTATTTTTTCCTTGCTTTTCAGAGAGTGGAAGGGAGAGAGAGAGAAACATCAATGTGAGAGAGATGCATCACTTGGTTGCCTCCCGCACACCCCCCAACCTGGGCCAGAATGAAACCCAGGACCCTTCAGTNGGATTGAGGTGCGTGCCCTTGGCCAGAATGAAACCCAGGACCCTTCAGTCTTCAGGCTGGCGCTCTAACCACTGAGCAACCGGCCAGGGCAGGAATGTAGTTTTTAAAGGAGTTTCTGTCTTGTCGAGAAATAACTTTCTATTCTTATTTTCTATATAAATCCCCTAAGAGACCAATGTGTGGTTCTAGACTATATCAAGCAACAGCCAGCAAACTGCCTGCAGAATGCTCAGTTTCTGGTATCTTTCCAAATGACGGGACAAGGCCATCTCCAAGGAGTTCATAACTTTTGAAAACTGATACACATACTTTTTGTTGACGGTTCAGAGGTGTAACAGTTCTAATTCTTCTGAAGACACATCACTTTCACACTTTGCTGTTCAATAATGTGGAGTGGAGATGAAATAAACTCACAGAACCATATAGTATCTTAATAAAATTCTAAATGCTCTGACAACATTAAAAAAAAAGTTACAAAAAAAACAGAAAGAAACTTCTCCCTGCTAATCATTTTACAAGTAAACAACTAAGTATCTAACATGACCAGAGCCCACAGAAGCAGAGTGAAAACACTAACAGAAATGAAAAATGCATACATACCCCTGTGATCGGGAAAATGCTTAAGTGTTTTGAGCACCAAATTACATCTAATCAAAACATTCTAGGTGAACTGAGGCAGAGAAGACAAAGGCTGATGGGGATTCCAACCACCTAACTAATGTGCAGGAACCACTGGATGGCTCCCTTGGTTCTGAGTCAGAATGATCTTTTAGAAGACAGCACAGAACACTGTCACAACAGCCGTGGAGAAAGGGACCCCTGCTCCATCACTCTGGCTCCCAAGTAATACATTACATTTGGCAGTGGCTATTTCCATTCAACGCCCCCCTTCAACCCACTGACATTTATCTAATACTATCCTTTTCCAGGTCTAAGGAAGTTTAACACAAAAATCACGTTGCTAAGGGACACACCATTCATAAAATGGAAACCTAAGTCTCCTCTTCATATATCTGTTCCTTTCAAGGAAGGGTATAAAAAGGGGGATGAGGGAAGACAGATAACAACTAGGAATCTGACTCTATAAGTTGGTTAGATGAATGAAAACAATGACTCCTCTGGCTTGAAAGTACCACTTAGGTGTTTAACATGACAGTTCTGGTATTTCCAAACAATTCTCTAGAAGTTTAATTTGGAAAGGTAATCTGTCCCGGGAGGACAGACCAAAGAAAAGGTCTTGGGCTCTTTAGTCAAGTTTCGTTCATTATTTCCTTTGTATAACCTTAGCTGGGCTACTTTTTATCAGTGTCAAGACCAGAAACACAAAAAATTAAAAATTGGCAGCACTGATTTATTTCCCACAAAAAGTTATTGTAAAGCACTTTCAACCATTACTTTTATATTTGTAGAAAACATTACCATCGCTACAGAGCTCTGCTATATATGCTCTCGTGTGGGGCAAAAAGAATTATCTGTTTTATAGAAAAACACAAGAAGTGATTTGCTTAAGGTCCAAATTACTTCACTTAAGGTCCCAGGTACTAAGTAAAGAATAAACCTTTTTCTCTCTTGTAAACTCAGAGCTCTAACATTTTTAAATTTAGTATCTTGCTGTTGGGTGGGGGGCTTTTTGGCAATGATGAATAGAAATTTAATTAAACAAAAAATAAGTTCCACCACAAGTAGTTTGGCAAATAGTCACTCATGCAGAAAAGAGTAATGATTTATGCTACACACATAATGAAGTATAAGGCTTTATTTGTTTACTAGTTAATTTACTTCCTGAGGGGGACTTTTCTCTCTAAAACAGCAATTTCCTACCAAGAGTTCCCAGACAGCAAGAAGTCCATAAAAGGAATAATGGAGCTGCTGAGTTATGTTAAATATTTCAAAAGGACTAAAGGAAAGCCATATACTAGCTCCCAATAAGGGTGCACACGTTATTAAAACAAGCTGCTTTGCCTTTAGGTGTGATCATAACAACTGGATGTTAGCACTGACTGGCAATTAGATCTGTTTACTGAAAATAGAAAACAAAGCTTAGGTTCACGTGACAATCTTTCATATCACAACTTCCTTTTTTTCTATTACTAAAAAGACTCCTTGAAGTTGAAAACAGCACTCTTGCCCTTCATATTCAAGATTAGGACAAATTTATAAAACAGAGAACTATTTTAGCTCAATTCCCTTGCCCTAGAGAGTAAAACATCTATATTTTGTTTTTTACTTCTTAAAAGTGTCTTTCATGTGAACTTGAAGTCAAACTACAGATTTCCTATCAAGCCCTAAGTGACCCTTTAAATATTTATGCACTATCCTTGACACAAACTCTTGGCAGTTAACTTACACAATAGTTAAGATTTTTGTTCAAACAGAATACAGCTAGAACGGTGACCATATAGTCAATAGAACTGAGCATCTTATTATAGAATGTTCTCCCTTGCCACCATGAAAAAATAAAATAAGACAAACATCCAAAACTATTACAATGGAACACAAGAAAACATAACCAAAGCAGCAACTTGTAAGGACTAGAATAACAAGAAGGGGAAATAAATATCAGCATGAACTGAATCTGACCAGAAGACCCTTGAAGGATGGTCAGACCTGGAAAGACAGACTGGGGTGGGGCGAGTGGAGCACGCTCCCCGTGGGACGGACTGCTGATGCACAAGCCTGAAGGAACAAGGGGCACAGTATCTCCAGAGGAGCACTCAGAAGCGGGCATGCGTCTGCGTAAGAAACAAACTCAACCATCGCAGAGGCTGCCTAAAGATGCTTCTTGGTGAACATGGAGACGACAGGGCCTAGCAGCCCGATTGGAGTCGTGCCTGCTGGTGGTGCCGTTCTGCTAGTCCCCACCAAATCCTCTCTTCCCTGGGTGTCTCACACACTTCCTGCTCTATTTCCTAACGCAGGTCATCGGTCAATAAATACCTGTGTGCAGCGGGCCTCCAAGAGGGATGTCTGCGGAGCACTGCTGGCACCTGGGGTGGGACAACACTCTGTGGTGGCAGACTGCCTTAGAATCACAACTCGTTTGGGATTCCTGTACCCCTGGCACTAACCGCCAGCACAGCACAGCACAGCCCCGCTGCCACTCTCCACCCCTCGGCGGGAGAAGCGACGCCACACGCGCATCTCCTGATGCACCCGCCGTAGGGACGCGCTCCTGGTCCTGGACGCCAAACGCATCTTCCCAAGTGGCCGGCAGCCCTCAGCGGCTCCCCACAGCCTGCACGTTCCGTCTCCCGCCATTGAGACCAGCCCTCCCTCTTCCTGGCCGTTCCCGATGCCACAGGAACCCTCACCTCGGAGGCCCGGCTGCTGCTTTACCACCTACTTCGCGCTCCCCGCTACTTCCTGTTTCCCGCCGTCGGACAATTTTCTCTGTCCCGCCGTCACTTCACTCCGAAGCCAACCACGCTTTCTCTAGCTTTGGGGGTGTGTTTTTGTTGTGTTGTTTGTTTGTGTGTGTGCTGTGTGGTGTTTTTTTTGGATAGAGTTTTCCCTGCGTGCAAGGTTCTCCGGCTCCCCTCAAAATCCTACTCATCCGTGGAAGCCCAACCCCTGCCGGGCTCCCCCGAGGGCCGCCCCTGAGGCGCCCCCCACCCCAGAATTAAGCGCTGGCTCCGGCTTTCACAACCAGACCACGGCACTGAGTCACACCTCGCTGTGGAAACCTCCTCCCGGCAGGAGGACTGTGCTCGGAAGGCAGGGGCTGCTCGGCCCCCTCAGCCGCGCCGGGGCGGAGAGCGGCAGATGCTCAATAAGCGATTTCTCTCCTCAGGACAGCGCTCGACTGAACAGGTTTTTCCGGAAATACACACCTGCTCCCCCGGAGCGCGCTCAGGAACCCAGTTTAAGGTTAACCGTGGTCACTTCCAGGCCTTGGCCAACTCCCGAGCGGCCGCGGGCAGCAGGGAAGGCACGGAGAGACCCGGGCTGGGTCGCTCTGAGGAGAAAGTCCGCCCCTCCGCCGTCCCCCGCCCCCGGGTCTCTCAGGAGCACCCACCCCACTCGGGTCCCCGAAAGTGAGCGTGAGGGTCCCTCCGGCCTGTGACAGGAAGCGGACAGTCCTCACTCAGGGCACCTGCGCGGCGGCACCGCGCCTGCACCTCCCTCGGACGCCTCGGGTTCGGGTCAGCTCCTCCCGAAACGCGGAGGTGAAGAGGCGCCGGGTGGATGCGCGGCCTGACGGCCTGAGGCGGACAACTCCCGGCCT